TTAATGTACACTGCAGCATTCTCTACTCCCCACCTTCTTGTTAATCCGGAACAGTCGTCCTTTCCCTTCCCAAGGACACGGATGTCAGGTTCATCTGTGTGTGTTGCCTGATTGCTACTGCTTAATTAGAGTAATTACAGCTAAATGAATGAAAGGAGAGATAATTTTTTTCCTGTTAGCATGACTCCATGAATCTGGACAATGTCGAATGGTTTTTCCAGAATGCTACAGAAAAGGTAATAAATTATAGACACAAAGGTTTTTTTTTATAAATTTTTTTATGAATGCAGTGCATTCTTGATAAATATAATGAAATTGAATTGTTGGCTCAGTTATTGCAAACTTGCAAATTATTCTAAGTCAAACTTTCCAACTTTGAGTTTTAGATTTTCAATAAAGATTCATTAGTGGTGGAGATGCTTAATTCAGTCAACCATGGTGCATTTAATTTATGGCATAAATTCATGTATTTAGGTTTCAGAATTCATAAGTTTTGTTTATTTGTGAAGATTATGATGACAATGTCATGGCAGTAGTTGACCTGAAAAAGGAAACAAACAGTAAAAGGAGACAATTAAGCTAATTCCCACCTTAGTTCTTCTTGTTTGTTCTTTCATGCATAATGAAATGTGCTCTGGCACATTTCAAAACACAACAACACATAAAAAAATCAAGCTTTTGTAGCAAGATGCATCTGTGTTCTACATAAGAGATTGCCAGTATTTAGAGTAAAAAATGTTTATTGCATGTATAAAATTAAAATATTAAATGAAATAATATCTATTTCAAATGCCATATATGATACAGTATTCAAGCTTTTCTAAGCAAATCAATAGGATACATACTCATTTGCAACTTGGAGGTCCAGTTCCAGTAACACCAGTTTTTTTTTCTCCTTCACCATAAAATCTCTGTTGAATTTCATGAACTGTTATCCATTTTAATTTGCAGCTCATGCTTGTTAGACTTATGGTACATATCTCTCTATCATCATCTATCGCTCATTGCCTGACCTTTCTTGAGTGCCCCTGAGTTATTCAATGTTCTTTCATGATGTTGCAGGAAAGCTGTCGCTTATCTGCAGGGTTGAAAAGTTATGGAGCATAAAGTGCTCTGTCTGAAATTGATAAAGCCTGGAGGACTGTGTTTCCCATCAGGGCACAAAGCTTATCGGCACAACCAGCCTGGAGTGATGGCCTGCAATGCTGTGCTCTGAGGACCAAGACCAACCTAGGAAGCCAGTCAAGGGGACATTCTCCCTGGAGACTCTCTGTTGATGTGACTGAACTGGAGGCTGTACTTTATTAAATATTGGAATCCTGCTGTGGTTTAGGAAGTCTTCATAATAGTTTATTTCCTAAATGCAAAACATGTTGAACTGTTGCTTCTGTAGAGTTAGCATTGACATTAAAAGGGAGTTGGAGTTTGAGGTAGAGGGCTGCATTGGGATTGGGTCTCACAGGAGTGGGTGGTTTTATCTTTGCTGCAGGCGGGAGTTGGCGGTCAAAAAATATAGCGCAGGTCTCAGGAATTGTAATAAGAATGATGGAGTCAACAAATTAAGTTGAGAAGAAAATTATAGAGGCTATTTTTCTTACAAAAGCAAAGCAAGGCAAGTGCAATGATTGAAAACACTTTTCAGTTGTTACTGAAAGAATGGAAAATAATTGAACTTTGTAAGTAGTGATAAATGTGGAAAGGTGTTAGTATACAATGGGCACAAAGCTGTTACCTCTGGGTTAAGGCGAC